CTAATCTTTCTGACCTGTGTGTTACATGGGATACTGCTGACCACCCTTGTTTCTGATATGCTCTCCCTTCTGGATTTTCACGACGCTGCTCTTTCCTGCTTCTCCTCCTGCCCGTCTAGTTGGTCCTTCTCAGACTCCTTTCTGGCTCATCACCCCTACCATATGCCTTCACTCTGAGTGTTTACCAAGGCCCCTCCACCTCTCCCTCCACTCTCTCTCTTAATGACTACCAGCTGTCATGGCTTCAACGATTCTATCGATGTCGATTACTCACAGGTATAGATATCCAGCCCACATCCCCAGCTGCCTGCAGACCCCTCAAACACAGCACGTCCAAAGCACAACTCCTTATCTTACCCACCAAACCCTCCCCTCTTGGCAGACTTCCCTTTTTCCGTGGAAGGTAGCCCTATTCATTCCGTTTCCTGGGTCCATAACCTCAGCTTTGCCCTCTGCCTCTCCCTACGTTTCCTCTGTTGCCAGATCTCACCACTTCTGCCCTCACAACACCTCCCCCCACCTCAGCTCAGGCCCTCACCACCTGCTGCCCACAGCCTCCCAATGGGTTTCCCAGCCTCCAATCTCCCCCCCGTTCCACTCCATCCGCACACTGCTACCAATGCAATTTTCCTTAAGTACCACCCTAACCATGTCGCTCTCCTTTTCAATAAACTCTGGTAGCTTCCCATTGCCTCTAGGACCAACCAGAATCTCCAGGTTAGGCTTTAAAGCCCACCATGCCCCAGGCCATCGGTCTAGCTCCATCACACATACTCCCCGCCTGCTTTCCTGAGCTCCACTGGCCGCCAGAATGGCTGCCCTCTGTTCCTCACCCATGATACTCCCTATCCAGATTCACACCTGGCACTGGCTGGCCCGCAGGCCCGAGTGCAGCCCTATCCTACGGCTGCTTCAGAGAAGCCCTGTCTTCCCTCAGGATGGTTGTGAGCATCACCTTCTTTCCACATGAAGTCTTTCCTAATCCCAACCATTAGCAGGCTCCCTAACTGCCTTATATTTAACTGTTTCGTAGGGGATCTAGGGGGCATCACAGTGTACAGAGTGAGGGGCCTGGAGTCAGGAAGACCGGAGTTCAAATCCAGACTCACACTGGCCTTTTATGTTTATGAAATGAAAGACTTACCTAGGCAAGTCCCTTAGCCGCTGTCTGCCTCAGTTTCCTCATCTGTAAAATGGGGATAACAGTACCTCCCTCCCAGGGAAGTTGTGAGGCTCAAATGAGATAATTTTGTAAAGTGCTTACCACAGTGCCGACACACAGTAGGCACTATATAAACGTTAGCTATAATTATAGTATTCATTCTTTTATACTCAGTATGTGTTTGCTCATAAATGTGCCTGTGTCCCCATTAGAACACCTGACAGCTTCATTCTTCCAGTTTATACCCCCAGGGCCTACCATCACCACATCTTGTAGGCAACAAATAGATGCTAACAGGTTATTTTTCTTATGCTCTTTTCAATTATACAGCATGCTTCTGGAGGGCAGGTTCACATCTCATGTTTGTGGACGTCCTACAGTGTTGATGTTGCCTGATGATGGGAAAGATTGAAGGCAAAAGGAGAAGGGGACGGCAGGGGACGAAAGAGATCAGACAGACTCTGAGGGGCCGCGGAGGACAGAAGGGCCGGTGCACACGGAATCCAACACAACAGAACTAAACGGGCTGAGGGCGTGACAAGCGCAAAACAAGCACCCACTGAGTGAAGCTGTAACAGGCAACAAACAGCTACTTAATGAACAGCACGCCCACTGCCACATCCGGGAACCTAATCAGCTCAAATTCAAAATCACTGCACTTCTGTTTGGGTGCTCTCCAAAACAGATTTTCCTGAAAACTACATCAAACTCTCTTAAGTATGCGACACTACCAAATAACAACATAACCACTCTTTTGCGCTCAGTCAAAATTACCAAACAATAATAATATTCATCATCATAACAATAAGTTCAGTTGTTCCTTGGAGCAGTAAAACTTTTTAATCGCTGGCAACATTTTAAAAATAGAATTGTTTGTCTTCCTTGATTTACCTGAGTAATCATTTCATTTTCAACAGGCTTTTGAGTCTGTAAACTGAAATGAAAATCACGTCTTCCAGCTTTTCAACAAAGAGAAGGACCTTATAAACCTGCACCTTACTGAGAATGTAAGTAGTGATGATCATATTAGCTACTATAGCAAGGTTCTTTTAATAGTAAAAAGCATAACAAATGTTCTTTTATTAATTTCATGACATACTGAAGTTAGGAAACCTTGCTATTAAATGCTATTACCAGAGACAATTGCTCATTTTAACAATTAAATTCAGTTTTAACCTGACAACCACAAAGGAAAATTCCAAAAGAAAAAGTCCAGAATACTCATCAAATGTCACATCTATAGTTGTTTTTCAGTTTTATCACACTGTGAAATTACCTACCATGCAGCAACTCAACAAAAACATGCTGTTGATATTCTAATCAGAGCACGCATTACACATATGTGGTATACTGCTGCCTCCAAGTGGTTGAATGACAAATTACAGAGCTGGAAAACACACGAAGACGCTTCCTCACTTCCAGGAGTTTCTCAGACTAAATATCAAAAGATACCAAACATTATGAAGTACATTTTTTCAAACTGTCGTGCAGACTGGATCCGTCTTCGGACAGGGACAGAGCTGTTGTCCTCCCTGGGTCTCCCCAGATAGATGAACAAAGAACAAACCACCTAGGCGTTCTCCTGTGACCTCAACAGAGGTGGTCCAGTGAATGCTAAATGTAAAGCAATTATCTCTCACTCAACAAGCTTGGCTTCCAGGGAGGAGAAGGGAAGGAAATGGCATTCACTCAAAGATGGGCAGACAAGCATCAAATATGACACTACTTGTAGTAGATATCACGCTAAGTTTTAAATAACAAAAACAATGCCCTTGTTCTTCCATTATAAGCCATTACAAAATGGTTCACTTATAGACATAAAAGACCAAAATGTTACAAAATGAATCATTTATATTTCAAATGCTAAGATGCTGACTATTCATAACAGTCATCTTTTTTTTGGGGGGGGGTCAGGGGTCAGGGTTAAGTGACTTGCCCAGGGTCACACAGCTAGTAGTGTCAAGTGTCTGAAGCCAGATTTGAACTCGGGTCCTCCTGACTCCAGGGCTGGCACTCTATCCACTGCACCACCTAGCTGCCCCTCAACCTTTAAAGTGAAATAACAGCACTGATACCATTCCAGCTCACAAACCTTCTGCAGCATATGAACAGGATAAAGACAAAAACTGCTCTACTGGAACTCCGTGAGAGGAGAAACCATGCTCCCCTTTCCATCATGCCAGCATCCACCACAGGGTCCTGCATACGAGGGTGGTTTGGGTTTTTGCAGAGGAGGTGCTTTTACTTATATGAGATGAAGAGAATTTTTATTCCACACTACATAGTGTAGTGTGGAACTTAGTTTCAAACATACATTGTTTTCGTACATCATGAAATGCTATTTTTAAAAAGTCACCTGTAATTGGTAGAGTAACTGACCATACCCATGGGTGCTTTGTAAAATAACAAGCCACAGAACAAACATGATCCTAACGGCCCTTTTTGGACTCCCCAACATCAGGCTACCCCAGAGTTTGCTTTATGTGAGCCTAACTGGAAATGCAGTCGCCTGGAATGTAAGGCTGATATTTGGACTCATGAGTCCATTTGGTTCACCCTTTCTCTCGTGTTTCAGATGCACAACTGTCTTTCCTTTTAATCCTGACTTTCTTTACTGCTGTCTCTGAAATCACATCGAAAACATAGAACTTAGGGGCAACTAGGTGGCGTAGTGGATACAGCACCTGCCCTGGAGTCAGGAGGACCTGAGTTCAAATGTGGTTTCAGACACATAACACTACCTATGTGACTCTGGGCAAGTCACTTAACCCCAATTGCCTCACCAAAACAAACAAACAAAAAAAAATGGAGAACCTCATGGTCAAACAGGAATTTAGATTTCATCTCCCACTATGTAAGTGTCTCTTTGGTGGAATGTTATCTTCCAGAAACCTCTTGGCATCAAACAAAAGGGAACATACTGAATCAATAAGAGTTATGAGACGATCTAAAAAGAATATATATCTATGTACATTTTTTTTTATGTGTATGCTGGGGGAGGGGAAGGAAACAGAACCATGGTCGGGGGTATCCATGCTTAATGGGTAAGAGATGGAAGGCTGCCCTGCACAACACACTGAGAAGGAATGTTCTGAGAAGCCCCCGCAGAAAACAGGCAGCATGGGGTCACCAGAGCCAAGAAAAGATCCAGGAGGTTCATGTTACTGACAAGAGTGAAAAGCTACAGGGGTCAAGTAGCACAAGGACTGAGAAAAGGCCCCTATAACTAAGCAGCCGGTCACTGGAACCTTGGAGAAAGAATTTTAGTCTAGCGGAGGGTTCAAAGGCCAACTGCAACAGGTCAAGAAGTCAGTGGGGAGTGAGAAAATAGAGGCAACAAGTGTAGGCAGGAGTTCTAGGAGTTCAGCTCTGAAAGGGTGAAGGTGACAGTTTAAGGGGGTGTCAGAGTCAGGTTTTTCAGTCACACAGAGACCTGGCCATGTTTGTGGGTGGCAGCAAAGAAGCCTTTGTGTGACAAGAGATGAAGGACTAGGGAATGAGAAAAAATGACCAAGAGGTAAACCTCAGGAAGAGTTCAGCCATGTTAAGCTGAGATTGTGAATGGGCCCCCGAGTCTTATTTTAACCTCTTCTATCCCACTCATTCCTCAGCTTTTCTACAAATGTTAATATCTATGTGCTGAAATGCCTTTAAATGTGTCGAAACAGTGGGTGAAAAAAACAAGCCCAATTTCTTTCTCTTTTACTACATAATTATTTGTAGAAAACTGCACCTTAGCTGACATTCCACTAACCTAAATTAGCAAAGAATTGTCAAATCCAAGCACCACAGACACAGGGCAGAGAAGTGAAGATTCCCATGATGAATATTTACTTACAATTCTTCTCCTGGTTTTGCTTTCTTATCTGAAACCAGATAAATTGTTCCAAAGCTTCCACTTCCAAGCTTCTGCTGAAGTACATATCTCCTTGCAATCAACGTCTTTGGGAAAGTGGAAACAGTTGTTGATACACTCACACACTTGGCAGCTTCTTGGAATTTGAGCATCACTCCAAATTCTATTGAATATGTTTATTCATTTATAGAGATTTAAAACGCAGGTCTCCTAAAAAATGTTCACATTCATCCAAGTGGGGATCACAGAGCAATTCCTTAAAGATGAAAATTTCAAATGTCAGATTTGACACAGTATGCCAAAATATTAACAAAATACTCGTCTGTCACTGTCATACAGACACTGCCGCCTTGTCAGCCTCAATGAGTTCAGAACTGCACACGTGTTACCTTGAGTGCTGGTGATTCCAGCAGAGGGTGATCTACTGTATAGAAGGTGGCTTTTTTTGGGGGGGTTTGTCCAAATTTCATAAAACTGCAACTTTGCAAAAGTCCTAGAAGCTGTATCACTTCTTACTCATCTAAACACTTCAATCTATTCCTACGTGTTCACCTATTCTCCACATTCTGAATTCACATACTTTTTGGATCACAAAGAGCAAGTGCTCAAATGGATTAGGATCAAGCCAAGAAAATGCTTCTGCTGAGGGGTGGGGGAGAACCCAGACTAGAGATTTCACTGATTTAAGGAATACATTGTAAGAAAACTCCCTCTACCAATGTGAATTTGGAACAGTTCCACATTTTACAGTCTTTGAGAGGTTAAGTGAGCCTGGACATGTCAGCAGGTATCAAAGGCAGAACCTGAACCCAGGCATTCCTAATTCTGAGACTAGCTCTCTATCCATTACCCCACCAAGCTGCTTCTATGCTGGCTGCTGTAGATTTAAAATCAAGGTTTCTCTTATCATTATACCAGATAACATTTGCAGGGGCAAAGAAGGACCAGTAGGATGAAAAGAGTAATTCCTTACTCTGTATCCTAAGGAAGATCTAACTTAAATATAACAATTACATCCTATTTCTGGAATTCATTTTAACCCTCATCAAAGAACAAAAAATAAGTCACAGCATTCTCAATACACATCAATCCCCAAGTTTTATTTTAATAGTAGCTAAGGGATCTGTTATATGTGACAGTCTTAAAAAATCATCTGGAATCTTTTGAGGGCAAAGAAGTTGTAAAATGTGTGGGTTTTTTTAATATACTGGCATTGATAAAAAAAAAATAAACTATTCCAAGTTTATTAATGATTTTTAAAAAAGCTTTGTCAAATAATGATCACTAATTTGTTTTTTCATACCATATAACAGAATTTTGGAGTGAGAAGTAATATTAGCATCCAAAAAACAATGACATAGTGGAGGGAATGATTCAAGCACTCATTCCAGAGACCTGGATTCAATTCCTACCATTTATTAGCTTTGTGACCATGGAGAAGGCACTTTAAATCTTTGTCCCTCTGTTTCCTTCTCTACATAAGGTTGTAAGAAGAGCTTTGTAAACTCTAAAGTGCTATGTAAATTAGTTATTTTACAAATTGATTATTATCTAACACTCTCATTTTATAGTTGAGGAAATGAGTCCCAGAGAAGTCAAGGGACTATTAAAATGTTTGTTTTAAATGATGCAGAATGCCTGATTTTTTGGAAGCATTTTACCATATCTAACCTCTCTAAAGCCATAACAAGCTGCAAAACTGTCACTTGTAATGACAACACAAGGTGTGGAAATATTCTAAATGCCATCTGCTGTTCTGCTAACAGCCTTTGTGATTAGCAGTGGCAATTAATCATAAACACTGGACGGCTCAATCTACTGTCAAGTCTTAGGGTACTCTTGTGAAGAAGCTATCAGTAGCCTTATTTTAGAAGAATGAGCCAAAGCACAGAAGCCGATCCTTGCCCATAGCAGTACTGGGATTATCAGCTGAAAGCTCTGAGCTTTTTGTCCTCTGCTCAATCCACAATTCTCACTATAAATAAGAGATTTTTATTTCTGATTCTGTGTATTACATACCAAGAAGATACAGAGTAATTTTAAAATATTAAGATCAGGGAAATGAAACATTAGGGAAATCTATTGCATACGTGACTGAAAATAGAAGCACTTTCAAAGTTAGAAAGGATCCAAGTATACCATTTTTGTATTTACCTCTCTTTGAGTTACGGGTATCCTTTCATAAAAGGCACTTTGGCCAAGTTATCTGTGAAGAAAACTCTAGTATTTTCCTGGTGACTCATTTTCAAGATTTGACCCAGTAGGCTTTGAAAATGTCTGATTTGGAAAGTGGAATGTTAAGAGACCACTGTCCAATCAAGTCATGAATTTGTTAAGTGCTAATGTGCCAAGTAATGTGTTAAAAACCAAGGATACAGGGAAATGTAAAAACAGGGTCTCTGCCCTCAAACTAACTCATATTTTTCCCCTGTAGGCCCAAGGATTCATCTCTACCTGCCCACCTCACAAACTGAACTAGCTTTGAGGGATAGTGGCCTGTGAATTGTACTGAACTAGATTCAAATCTACCTAGCCTCTAAGCCTCAGCACTCTATGTCCACTTCCCAGATCACAGCTACGAAGCTGTAAATAGTCAATTACTAGCTGTATGACTCTGGACATCCTGCCTGCCTCGGTTTTCTTATCTGTACAATGGGGATAATGACAGCACCTGTCTCCCAGACTGTTTGTGAGAATAAAAAAGAGATACTGGTAAGAAGGTGCACTATTAATTATTATTGCTAGTTACTGAGACTTCACAAGCGTGGGCTTCCTTCTATGCAGGACACGGGCGGCCCAAGAGGACGAGATCTGCACCCGCAGCTTGCTTCCTTGCCTCATAGGACTAGAGAAGGGACCCTGGGAAGAAGGCAAGAGAGAGCACTGAGGCAGCCTCCAGAGGCCCCAGGTTTGCCAAGGCTGCCCCACAGCTCGGCCGGGCCCTGGGGAGGGGGCGACCTTTTCCAAGCCCGGCATCTCCACCCCCCGCGTCGCTTGACACCTGCAAAGGTCACCTGGAGAGCCGCGGGCAAGACGAAGACAGGGGATTCGGGAGGAAGGGCCGAGCCGCGGGCCCTGCCACGGAGCGCCGCGCCGCTCACCTTAACCTGTCCCCGTAGGAGGTGCGGGGCCGGGGGCGGCTGGGGGGGCGGGGAAGGGGCCCAAGCCTCGGGGGAGCCCCGCCCGCCTCCACCTCCTTCCCCAGCCACAGATGACGCCACGCCCCCCGCTCACGTGGCCAAAGTGTTTGAGCGGCGTCGCTAGGAGACGGCCGCGGGGAAGTGTGGGAGGCGGACATGACGGTTCGAGAGGCGGAAGCAGCTGAGGCGCCGATCCAGGGGCGGGCAAACCGAAACGCTCGCGTCTCCCCGGCCCACCGTAGCATCCCTGCCCTCGCCTGTGTCCCCCATGGCCCCGCATAAAGGGCTCCAGGGACAGCAGTTGGGGAGTGGAGCGCCTGAGAGGCTAGAGCTCTGTGGGTCACGTTACATCCGGACACTTCCGGTGCCTTAGTCTCGCGTTATCCGTGTTCCGCTGGGACTTCCGGCCGTGCGCCCCATCCTCGCAGTTTCTGCACAGCTGGGCCCCTGAGCGCACGAGGAGAAGCAGGTGGGGCCCGCGGCCGCTGCCGCCATGCGGAGGCGGGAAGGAGGTCTGGATGGAACGCTGCGGGGGGGGAGGGAGACCGGGAGGCAGACCCCCCCCCCGGGCTGCCAGGGGAGGGGAGGGGCGGAGCCCGGACTCCTTCCCTGCTCATTTCAGTGCAAGAGCAATTGTCGAGCCCCGTTTGTATGCAGGGCGGCTAGGTAGCGCGGTGGGTAGAGAGCCTGGGCTGGAGTCAGGGAGACACGAGTCCAAATCCGGCCTCAGATAACCGAGCGACCCTGGCAAGTCATTTAACCGAGTTTCCCGCAATGAATGGCCCCGGGACACCAGAAAGATGGGGTCACGTTGTCGGAACACGGGGGAAATGCCACTTGGCCGGTCTCGTTGTCGTCCTGGGCGCCCACGAGCCGCAAAGCGCATTCGTGACACTTAAATCGCTTTGTACTGAGGTTGGGAGCTGACTCCCACCGTGCCATTAGGTTACTGCTTCTTGTTCGGCCGTGTCCAATCCTCGTGGCCCCACTTGGGGTTTTCATGGCTAAGATACCAGAGTTGTTTGCCATTTTCTTCTCCGGCTCATTTTACAGATGAGGAAACTGAGGCACGCAAGGTGAAGTGACTTGCTCAGGGTCACACAGCTAGTAAGTGTCTGAAGCCAGATTTGAACTCGGGTCTTCCTGACTCCTGGCCCGGCACTGAGCCACATAGCTAGCCTTCTGGTGTGATGGACCCCATATCAGAATAGAGATTTTAAAGCAGTGGAGGAAATGATAAATTTTGATTATAGGTTTGTGAAAAATTTTTTAAAGTTACATTGTTTCCACATCCAAGTTAATGGACATATTGGGGGGAAAAAAAGGGAGGAAGTCCGTGGGCCTTGAGTTAAAAACCCATTCCTGAAGAATATTTTCAATGAAGCTTTTTAAAAAAATTTCCAAATGGCACCAACTAAAAATTATTTCTGGTGGTGGGGAAATGAGCAATAATGATTCCAAATATAATATTCATATATAAAGCAGCCGTGGGCCAAATTCTAAAATTGCAAAAGACATTTCTAAAATTCAAATTACTACTTGCCACACGAATTAATCCTTTAAGATTCCATGGGAAATGGGGCTTATTTCTAAATGATTGGTCAGCTAATTAGAATTTCAAGTGGCAGTGAAAATTTCCATTTTGTTCTGCAGAAAATGGTAATGGGATGCCAAGGGAGACTCTGGAACACCTTAAATTAGGTGTGTGCCTTCTGACAGGGAACTCCCCTGACCAGTGAAGCAACCCTGATTAGTCACATTTAATGAGGAGGTGGGATAAAAGTGTTAAGCTCCTCCTGCTAAGAAGGTGGCTTGATCTTGAAACACCTGATTTGTGTGAGTCTCCCTTCCCATCTTTGATTACCATTCACCACAACTGGTGACCAGCAAAAGTACCCCTCTGGCTTAAGGTCTCCTGGGAAATGTGCCTTCTTTGGGAGTGTATACTGGTGAAGTTTTCTCACCTGTAAAAAGGGCCTTTCTTGGGAAACCTTAAGCTGAGATTTTGAATCTCTCCTCCAGTATGAACTTTGATCTTCTCTAAGTAAGAATAATATATGATCTGTGTCTGTTCTGAGTGTTTCTATGTGCTGCAGCTTCCAGTAATTGGCTGCTCTCATGGTGAGGTTGTCAATAGCTTGTATGTTTTTATAAATGCTGAAATTATTCTAGTGAGAATCCGATTAGCGTTCTTTGAAATTCATTTTAAGAAAATTAAAAACATAGGCAGATTTGAAAGTAGTCATTATCAGTGAAGTTTCATGGGATTTTTCTTTTGTATGTATTTCCATGATTAAAAACCGAGCTGCTTTTTCCCTATTGTGGCTAATCAGCAGGAGAGGGGAGGGTGGTGATGGTAGCTTGTCTTTGGCCCTAACCCGCCAATTTGTTTAGGCTAGGAGAAAAGGTCTCCAGGTTCTAAAACACCCCCTCTCCCCTTGCCTTTCATTAGCATAACCAGAGTACCAGGCCTGTAGGTAGGCTTTCCAGCTGAACCACATGACCCTTTGGGAGGGATTCCTGAAACCTTAACAGGAGACCTTAACCTTGGAGACCATATCTTACAAAAAAAAATGAGTAAGAATTTTGGTGTTTTTGTTCCTTTTTTTAAGAAAGATTCTTCATAGTATGGGACAAGGAAGAACTGCCCATTGAACCAGTGATGACAAAAAAAGCAAGTGATTAAGTTCTGTGGCATTTGGTCTAAGGCAAAAACAATTGAGTTGGGGAGTCGCTGTGGCCCAGGTGTGGCTCTTTTAATTATCAGACATTGAAAGACTGAAGGCTAGTTATACAGGACAGAAACCCCAAGCACACAAGCAACTACTACCTTTGGAGTAGATTGATGGATGTGTAGCCACGAAAATTTAGTCATCTGATAGCATCTGCTCATTTTCTCTCTAGGTCCTCGACCCTGCTTTACTTGCTTCCTCCCTTACTCCTTCAACCCTGCCTGCGTCTTTGATGTTGCCTCCAGCCTGCCTTACCCCCTTCCTCTCCAACTCCCTGGCTTCTCTTGGCCCATTCCCCCTTACCTAACTATCCCACCCTGCCAGCTTCTTCTGTGAAGTCTCCTGATGCCTGCCTGTTCCAGAGCTACTCTGGAAATTGCAGCTCAAAGAAGCCCTACGTGGTCCCCAGTTGTGGCCAATGAATCTGAGAGACAGTGCTCCAAGTAATGAAGAAATTCATTTACTCAATCAGTTGGCCAACAATCAATAAATTAATGGTCAGTGATTGGCTGGCCTATTTAATAAACTAATTTCTTCATTACTTGGAGCCCTGTCTCAGAATTTTCATTCACCACAGTTCACAAAACAGGTGGACAGTAGGGCGTCATGAGTACATTTTCTTCTAGAATACAACCTTCCAAACTTAATAAATTGTCTTTCATTCGCTCTCCCACCTCACCTTGTGTTTCTTGTTCTTCTAATTTAGATAAATTATGAAACTGAAATTTATTTTTTTACCTTTGGATTTATGTTTTGAAAAAGGGTCCCTTTTTTTTTTCTTTTTGTGAGGCATTTGGGGAGGGGGGGGGAGGTGTTAAGTAACTTGCCCAGGGTCACACAGCTAGTAAGTGTCAAGTGTTTGGTCTGAGGCCGGATTTGAACTCGGGTCCTCCTGACTTCAGGGCCAGTGCACTATCCACTGCGCCACCTAGCTGCCCTTTAGTTGATTTTTAGGATGGTGGAAAGTACTGTCTTTTATACCCAGTGTCCCAAAAGTCTTAATGCCATTTTAAGCCTGGGACAGATATCCTGTAGAGTCTTCAGGATTTCAACAACTTTATTGAAAATTTGGTGCATGTTTTTTTATCTTGAAGGCAGTTCCTTAGAGCATCGGTATGGGTATCCGTGGACTAATGAGCTATGTGGAAGATCACAGTAATCAATTCTTCGTTGATCTGAAGTTGAGGGACACCAAAATTATCATTGATGGTTATGCACTTTTCCATCGACTGTGTTTTGATTCAAATGTGGACCTCCGGCATGGGGGAGACTATGATTCTTTTACTGATGTTACGCAGAGATTCTTTGAATCACTCTTTGCTTGTAAAGTTCATCCATATGTTGTATTAGATGGAGGTTGTGACGTTTCAGATAAAAAGTTCCTCACCTTAAAAGACAGAGCCCGGGAGAAGATCCAGGTGGCACATTCCCTTTCTGTTGGTGGGAGAGGAAATCTACTGCCATTACTCATCCGAGAAGTATTCATTCAAGTCTTGAACAAGCTTCATGTAGACTTTGTCCAGTGCTTCTCAGAAGCCGACAGAGACATTATGACACTTGCTAACCATTGGAATTGTCCTGTATTAACGATGGATAGTGATTTTTGCATTTTTGACCTGAAAGCTGGCTTTTGTCCTCTGAATGGTTTTCAATGGAAAAACCTGACCGTGATTAAAGATACACTTCACTGCTATATCCCTGCCAGATGCTTCTCTGTAGATAAGTTCTGCAGTCATTTCAACAACATGAATAAAACCCTGCTGCCTCTCTTTGCTGTGCTGTGTGGTAATGACTACATCAGTTTGCCTGCCCTGGATACAGTCCTCAATAGAATGAGTTTCACCCCTGGAACCTCCAACATGAAAGGGAGAAAGCACCAGCGGATTCTGGGACTCCTGAACTGGCTGTCTAATTTTGATGACCCTCCTGAAGCCTTAAATACTTTTGTGAAGTACCTGAAAATGAATGATAGGGATGTGGTTAGAGAACTACTTTGTGGTTCAATGGAGGAATATCAGCCATCTCCAGTGAAGCTGCAGGAGTTCTTCCAGCTTGGCGCTTATGTATCTCCCTGCGCCACCAACCTGGGCTTACCTGAATGGATACAGCTGGCTTTGGCGAAAGGGCAACTTTCTCCTTTCGTTTGCGATGCTTTGTCGTTACGGCGGACTATTCTTCATACACAGGTGGAGAACCTGCGGCGTCCAAGTGCCCACATCGTCTCTGTGTCCATTCGGAAAGTCATCTATGGGCTTCTTCAGAATTTTTCTCCAGATCTAAATAATGTATCCCAGAGCACAGTGTCTAAACAACCAATGGCTTTCAGTGAGGTAGAAAGAATTGATAAGAATATTGGAACAGTAGTTACCCATGCAGTGAGGCTCTCAGAGGAATATCGGGAATTAGGCAGATTGACCGAGGTAAGTGGTTCAGGACTGTGGTATCAGTGGCCCTGCATATGGGAGCTGTAGATCATTAGTGACCGTTTCATATTCTAGAATGTGGGTTGTATGAGTCACAAAAAAATCTAGAGCCTTTTGCCCCCAGTAGTAATAGGGTGAGGAACGAGGGAGAAAGACAATGAGTTAAGTTTTGGACGTGTTGAGTTTAAGAAGTCTACTAGACATCCAGTTTGAGGTGTCTGAAAGGCAGTTGGAGGTCAGCAGAGAGGTTGTGGGGCTGGATAGGTAGATTAAAAAATCATCAATAGAGGTGGAAGTTAATCCGTGGGAGCTGATGAGATGATTGAGTGAGGTGGTGGAAAGGGAGAAGAGAAGAGGACAGAATCCTGAGGGACACGTGCAGTTAGAGGGTGTGATCTGGAGGACCCAGCCAAGGAGAGATTAAATGACTTGTCCTACATCCTAATGAGGCGAGTAGAATCAGCCTGAACACCCACATCCCCCAACCCCTAGGGTGGCGTCCTTTCCCCTATACCACACTACCTTTACCGGGGCAGAGAACAGTAATAAAAACCATCCTCATTCGTTGGAGTGGTGAGGGACCTTAGCAATAAGATCACGAGTCCCAGAAAGTCTTCATGGAGTGAGTTGTAAGCATCTTATGGGGGACACACTATATAATCCAGTATAACAGATGGGAAAAGTTACTTGGTCACAAACCACAAAACCTATGTCAGGTCCATTACTCTTTCCATTCCACCACTGCCTCCAAAGCAGTGTGTAATAGGGGCCGGGAGTGGCGTAAAGTGCTTGGCACAGTGTAGAGAAAGGGAGAGATGTCTCTGTCCTCTGGCTAGAGTCATGAGGAAAGGGACTGTAGAGGGGGGAGCGCGGATGTGGTCCTTGCACAGCGGGTAGGATTTACTTTGTGCAAGTGGTGATGTAGAAGGCACGGTGTGGCCAAAGGCGTGGAGGTGAGAGAAGCACGCAGGCAGGCCAGTCGGTGCGGCTGTGTTCTGCATAAAATCCATCCTCTCCCGAGGCCTGTTCCTTCTTACCTGTTTTCTGCCACTGGGCCCACCATCTTCCCAGTCTCAGACTTAAAACTTTATTTAGTTATTTAAAGCTAGGATCTCAGCAGCTTAGAAAAAACACTGGCTCTGGAGTCAGGAGTTCAAATCCTGCTCCTGAAACCAGCTCTGTGACCTTGCACCCTTCCCCTCCTTCAGCCTCAGTTTCCTCATCTCTAAAGTGAAGGGATTGGGCCAGATGGCCTGTCAGGCCACCTCTGGCTGTAGTCTGTGAACCTATGAACAGACTGAATTTTCATAAAAATAACACCTACCTCAAAAGTTTTGTGTAAGAATCCAGTTAAACGAGGTATGCTATATGGAAGGCATTTGGTAAGCCTTCAAGGGCTCTGCAAGTGTTAGCTATTTTTGTCCCCCATAGCTTCAAGCGTGGTCCTTTCGTTCAGTATTTAACACCTTTTTGAAGAGATAAGCTTAACAGTTGAAACTAATGTTTCATTTATGTTGTTTAGTCCTATATTTGCACACAAGAAAAAGCGTCAGGTTTCTCTAAACATGACTGAGACCCTGTGTGCTGTGTGTTTTCAGCTTTCTCTCTCTAAGCGTAAGATTCTTCTGCTAGAAACCCTGAAAGTGAAAGAGGGCATCTTGGACCCGATTCCTGCTTCCTTGAAGCTGCCTATCGCTGTCACTTGCTTTTGGTTGCAGTCCTTAGAAGCCAAAGTGAAACGATATCATGTGCAAGCTTTACTGATGGGAATGCTGTGTGGGCAGTTGCACAAGATGACCAGTGAGCCTGGTGGGTATCTGGAGTCTACAGCATGTGTTATTCCAGGAACTCATTTATACTATACTTGAAATTTTAAAAAGGTGGGGCCAGGGAGAGAGGGGGATATTCTTTATCAATTCATAGCTTCTAATGTGATGGGACCAACATCTGCCCCATCGATGCTCCCTGACCCTTCACCTTTACAGGTAGCTTATGCAAATGATGTTTTTGATATAAAGAACATTTGCCAGTTTCATTTTTTCCTCCAAATTCAGAGATAATGGTCATTATATTTCATGCCAGTTCAGGAGTGATTTCTTTCCTGAGAAGGTTATTTATCACTGCTCTCTGTGATAAGACAAATACCTACAATTACCGAGAATTGTATAGTTCTATTCTAGCTATGCTGTCATCTTTAGTCTTTCCCCCCATAATCATCAGTTAATATATGAGCAGTAATGGAAAAAACAGCATCAGCTTCTCTTTTTTCTGCTATAAATAGTCATTTTGAGGACACTTAATTGGCATAGGAGCATTCTTTATACAATGAAGGTGTGCGATTCTTTTGAAGAATACTCCCTTTAAAAGGCATGAATATGACAGCTTTTCTTCACCCAAGTGCAGCAGCAGTGCTGGTTACTGTCTGAATTTGTCAGCAGTTACCTACTTTCATAAGACATTATTTTTTTTCCAGAATAATTTAAATGAAAGAATCAAAGAAATGGGACCCTAAGCCTTGTACTAAAATGCCCACGAGTTTTTATACTTAGAAGGCTCCTTGTCTTCACTTTATCATCTCATAAGTTTATAGATACGTATGAGCCTACTTGGAGCTAGAAAGCAAAAGAAGCCAACGTTGCCTCACTGTTGTGGTGTTTTTTTAACCCTCATGTTTCATTTTTTCTGCTGAGTAAAAGACATGTAAGAAAAGACCTAAGAGCAAAATCTGCTAGCTCTCTTGCCAAACCCAATAGGACACGTGTCAAGAGTGTGTCCATTTTCCTTTAAGGGTTGTGGATACAGAGCATGGGCAGCCTCAGTGCCCTCCTGCTCATAAGTTTGAAGCAGGGTAGGGCCTTTATGTGTTTTTCAGGTGGATCATACTGCCCCCGTGTACATAGACTCTCCCTCTGGTACCTGCAGAAGCTGTGATCATTCAGTTTGGGCTCCCATTCCTGTTAGATTTTAACTTTGCCCTTTGATGCCAGCATGAAGGTATCTTCTGTTCCATTGAAGTGGTTTTTACCTAGATGAGTGAGCTGTCGCACTCTCTTTTGTGGCTTTTATGAAAATAGATTTCAGGTAGACTCTTATGAAGAAAACATTAATTTACATTTCACAGACCAAACGATTTAGAGGACGGAGGCATAGGCTTATATGGTATAAGACTTTGTCCTGGAAACTGTTCTAAGCCAAGTATTCGGCACAGTTAAGTTTAAGATTCAGAAGAGAATTTTCAGTAGAGTATTTGAATTCAAATGCCTTCAAGGCTCAGGTATTTAAAATTAAAGTAGCAAAGTGTCAGAGTAGAGAAGATTTTTCACAATTTAAAAATGGTGTTTCCATTTGGTCATTGCCTTTGAGTCTGTATAGGTAGAGACTATCTGAAAGCCTTTGCAAACACTACGTTCTTTTTCCTCTAGACAATGAGGGATTGCATGTGGATGGAGCTAAGCTGCTGTGTGACCAGTTTCTTAAAGTGAAAGAAAATAAACTCCAAAGAAAATTGAATTTAGATACAGCCCATGTTTTCTGTCAGTGGCAGTGCTGCCTCCAGATGGGATTCTATCTCAATCAGCTTCTGTTGACACCTTTACCAGAGCCCGACCTCACATGGTAAGATAAGCCAGTTGCAATAACTCCAGGCCCAGAAAAGTGCAGAAGAGAGGGATAAGGATTGGATTTCATTTTGGCGGGGAGGGGATTAGGACTCTTTCACTTCAAGCCCACTGTTGTGACGATAGCAAAATAATTATTTCCTGGTCTTTGTCTGTTAATGGGTCAGTTTGGTTATTTTTCAAAAGCAGTATTGTCTTTCCATCCTGAGAGAGCTCTAGACAAGTAAATTCATAGTGCCAGACCAAAAAATTAGGACTTGTTCTATAATTGGTCAGTTTGGGCCCCCGAGTCTAGATGTTTTGTTCTGTTTTGGGTGGTAAGTCCCCACCACACTCCTATGAAGTTCTAGCAATTTTTCTGTAATTAAGTCTTAAAAGAATTAGCTGGAACACTGAAAAATTTAGTGGTGTGGCCATGGTCACTCTGCTTATGTGTATCAGAAGCAGAACCTAGGTCCAGGTTTTTCTCATTTCAGAGTCAGCTCTTTAGGGCAACATGATACAGTGGAAAGAACCCTGACCTCCAGAGGCAGGGAACCTAGGTTCAAATTTCACTTCTGTAACTTTGCCAAGGTCCCTTAAATGCCATGAGGCCATTTCTTTGCACTGGATGGCCTGAGAACCATTCCAGCTCCGTATCTATCCCCTGTGTCGTGCCTGTCTCTTCAATGGACATACCTAACCAGTTTCTACTGTTGAGCGATAGTTGTTTTAAAATGAACTACTTGATCTTATTTCTAATAACTGGCTTTTCTAATCTAGCGAGTTTGTTTTGAATTTGTTGACAAGCCTGCTTAACCCTGACACCATCTGTAACCTGAATTTCTAGCATTTTACTCATTAAGTACATTAGATGCTTCCAGATCAAGACTGACTTTTGTGACCTTTCCATCCTCAACGGGACTGTGACCAGAAGTTAGTTCTTTTAGGCAAGACTTTACACAGTTTCAGAAGTAAATAAATAGAAGGATCCCTTGGGTTATCTAATTGGAATTTTCACCCTACTGTGGCTTACTGCAAAATGCCAAAATTCTCAGTGCAGTTTGAAGCTATAGTATCTGCCTTCTCGTCCCTCAATGAAAGCAGTGACATGCTTTCTTTTCTACTTGGACAGGCTCTACAGTGGGACTCTTGTCCATGGACTTTCTCAAGAACTTTCTACTTCATCCTCAGCAGAAAGTATCTTGAGCGTGTGCCCAAGAGCAAGGCAACTTTATAACCAGCTGTTCCATGCCCTGAAATCTGCTGTCCCCTCAGAATGCCTTTCCCAGAGGGAAAAGTTAAAAGCAAAAAAGAAGAAACAGAGGAAGAATGATGCCAGCCAGACAAAGTACCGAGTGGGCGTCTCCCTGGGAACCAGGTCCTTATGTGATCATGTCAGCAACAGTTTTGGGCTTCTCACAGTAGATGACTCTGAGGATTAAGGTCAGGGGTCACAGCTGGAGTAAGTCCAGAAGTGTTTTCAGTCTCATGGATGGTGATTGTCCAAGTCGTTTCCTTCCAGAGATCAAGCTTTCAGGTTTATTCTCTAAATCAGTCATGCTGCAGGGATTTCAGTACACCCATCGCTTGGTAGTACTCAGTACAGTTCGAACTTGGGGAAGATGTCAGTATAAAATAATTACTTGAAATCTCTTTCATGGTCCCCTTTAGTTGGCTAATAGTTATAACAGATTCTTGAACTACAGCAGCTCTGGCTGTGTGTGGGTGTATATATGCAAGTATGTACATGTATAGATGGACACATACATACATATATATACACACACACACACACACACACACACAGAGATTTTTTTTTTTAAGGTTTTATATTCTACACATCCTGTTAAGCCCCCTGTAATATGTATTTTACCCCTGAGAATGCTACAATGTAGCCTTGGAACTGCCACAGATTAACTATTACAGGGAACCAGGTAATTGCTATTTCTAAAATTATTTATTTTTATAATATTTTTTATATGTTTTCATATGCCTTTTACACTGAAAAATAAAATTTCATAGCATAAAACCAAAATGGTTTGGTCGTGTATATTTTATTGCAGCTAGAGCATCCCAGACACCTCCCTTGTACCTGTGTTTTAATCATTAGACCGTAAAGAGAGTAACACTGGGACTGTACCATGGAAGAGAGCACAGTCTTCAGGGAAAGGTTGTCAGTCTAGCTGGCTCAAAATTTTCAAAGAGCGATTTTCATCTGACTCCGACTTTGGCCTTAAGCTGTTAGCTCTGGACTTGCTGCATGAGTGTTTTTTGGCATGGGATTATCTATAAATTAATCTCATACCTGTAATGCATTTGAAAATGGATTAAGGTGGTTACTGGTGAACTAGGTCTGAGGTAATACGATTTAGTCTTTTAGGAAGTGGGAAACACAACAAGCTGATGTGAAAATGAATTGGGCAGGAGCTTTGGGACAGACAGCTATTGGTGTTTTTTAAATAGTCTCTAGATAAACAAGTTCCTTAAAGCCTTACATGCAAATTTATGTTTCTTAATTGGTCATGAAACTGTTTTCATATTTTTATACATTATTCATTTTGGTTTTACTCACTAGGGAATTTAACTTATTTAATGATTATCACTGGCATTTAAATACTTGGTGGTCATTATACATTCATAAGCTACTGGGAATTTGGGAAAAGTATAATAAAACAGAAAAGGCTAAACAGCACAGCAAGCATTCATTAGTATAAATAAAAGCACAATCAGATCTATGGAAAGGAGAGAAGAAAGAGATTACACACACTAGGATGTGGGAAGTTATTACTGAGGGCAAGGTATGGTTGGCAGCAGCCTCCTATAGGTCACTCTGATAAGTAATCACTCTCAAGCCATCTTCTATCTACAAGCACCAACCAAATCCCTCCAAGGCAAGAAATTAGTGGATGAAATGTAGGCCTTAATTTGTTGTCTGGTTATTTGCTTCCTATTGGCAGGATTTTTAAAAAAATCTCACTACGAGGGAGAAGAGAACTGAAAGATGTTAAGTGTTGTTGTATGTCTACAGTTAAAATATTCTAATAATTTTTTCCATGTAAATTAACACAAGTTTTAAAAGGCCATTGGCAACAAAAAAAAGTTTCTATGTAAGGTTTTTTTTTTAAAGCTGATTTAATAACTAGTGATAATTTCCCCCATCAGTCAGGACTTAGTGAGCATGAGGTGAGGATGTTATTGCCAATCTTGTTAAGACCTGGACATTCTCTAACTTCCAGTTGCTTGATAAGTAGTGATAAAGGACAAGTCTCTGTGTCCATCCCACCCTTAGACTCTCCAGGCTCTCCTGCTCTTCTACTTTTCTTGGGATGGGCTTTGCTCACACACCTCACCTACGCTCAAGAAGGTGGCCACGCTGCTACAACTCGACTCTTGGGGACCAAGAAGAATACTACTGGGAGGATACTATTTAGGAAAGTAGCTCCTGAGCCCTCACTGATATGCTTCCTGTTTAAACAAATCAATCACAATGATATGATTAATTCAAACATGAAACGTTTGCCCAATGAGAAAATGGGCAAGAATCATCAAAACATAACAGTTCAACCATAAACCTGGGTCACACTCTCCCACCAATGCATAAAGGGGAGGATGGACACAAACTTGGAGAAACTCATCAGTGAAGCACATCAGTAGGGAACCTCATGTGCGTGGGGCAACTCACATCACAACCAGACACCATTACAGGCCTGGATGTTTCTGGTCCTTTTAGGGAACAGTCCATACCGTAGCTCCTTTGGGACAGAACCCTACCCTGAGCCTCTCTTTGTCTTCCTATTGGATGAAACTGCTTCTCTGCCAATCTTGGGCTTGAAGTAGTTAAATTCTTTTAGCTTACAGCAGCGGTAAGTCTGGGATCTTCAGGCTTCCCAAGTCGACTTTCTGGGCTCTCTTTTGTTATCTCAGATGCTGTGAATTAAAAGCTGTCTTCTCAAGTAGTTTCTGATACTTCAAATCAGGGTCACCCCATGTCTGATTTGGGTTGAGAAACCCCAAATCTAACTTCAGTCAGATATAACAAAAATACTTAATATCCAGTAGTCCCTTGGTTACAGAACAGTTCTTTGATTCAGAGTTTCCCAGCGATAAATCTTCTGATCCTAAAATGCTGCTTGCAAATTATTTGTTGGGACACCTAAACTACAACTATCTTTACTATTTGCCAGAGCCTTCACCTCTGGGAGCCGTGCTTTCATTCACCTCCTTTGAGAACTCTTCCTTTATCACCTTTATCTAAGGGGCTCCTTTTCTCCCATTAATTTTAGTGATTTTCCTCAAGCTGCTTTTTTAAGTATGTCACACAAAATGTCCTTTTTCCTGGTCTTTTCAGTAAACAAAATATCCCCATAAGAAAAAGACAGTAACTTAACACTTGTAATTGATCTGTTTTCAAATTTCCTGTTCTTCTGTACAGCTTATGACCTTGAGATGGAACTGGGGTGAATTAAGGATTTTATATAAATGGCTTCTACTGATCCAGATTGGAGCCTAAATTCAGATTTTTCTTACAATTACTTAAAAAAAAAAAGCCAGACCTGTAATTCCAATGTAAAGAACTCCTGATGATCAAACTCCCTCTACCAACAGAAATCTGCAACTGTTCTGATCTTAGTCTTACAGAGTTGCCTAGTGGCTCTTAGAGGTTATAATTCCTTGTTTCACAGAGCCTATATATATCAAAAATGGGACTTCAACCCAAGTCTTGGCATTTCTGAGCCTGCCTCTCTGTGTTATTTACTGCACTTTTATTTCCCACTCCCTATTCTAAAATCCTTTATTTGGTAACTGGCTAGCACCTTCTCAGATTTCACACATTCTTCTGAAAGGCTTCCTATCTTTGCTACTCTGTGTTGTACTGGGTATTTTTAGTAACCTATAACATGGCCTAGAGATTCTGGGCTCACTGCATCTGACTTCAAATCCAAAACTCATTACGTTATATTATGCTGTATCATCTAGAGACAATCTCTTAAAACATTCTACGAGCTCCAACTCCATAATTAAAAGATGTCTATGTTAATAGTGATACAGTCAGCCTATATATCATAGCAACATGAAAAGACTAACGTGATCTTCTGAAGCTTTCTGATGTCTACAATTAATTCACTTCCGCATTAAATGAGGTGTGTCTGAAGTTAGTGATTGAAGTTTACTTTTTTCAGGAGAGGAATATTATTTTGTATGAAGGATCACAATTTCAGAGGTGGAAGGAACCTCACTGGTCACCTATTCTAACCCACATCTGAAAAAGAATTCCTCCTACACCATACCCAACAATAGATCCTCCAGTCTTTGGTTTAAGACCTCCAACCAGGAGAAACTCATTGCAAACTGAAGTAGTCCAATCCCCTTTTTCATGTTAGGACATTTTTCCTTACATCAGGATTAAATCTATCTCTCTTCTTCCCACTGTGGCCAAATAGAGCACGTCTAGTCACATTTTCAAATTTCCTTTTAAGTATTTGAAGACAGCAAACGTCCCATTCTAGTCTTCCCATTTCTCCCATCGGATTTTCTCAAGCTAAAGATCCTCAGTTGTCTCAAATGACCCTCACTTCATGGATTGAAGAGCCTTTGCTCTTCCAGTTAACCTTCCTTTGGTGTCCGGCTTATCAATGTACTTCCCAATTTGTAGTGCCTAGGACTGGATACAATATTATAGCTATGATCTAGCTAGGTCACAATTATATTGAGACTCTCATCTCGCTAGGACTGGAAGCTGTGTCTCTCGTTCTCAAGTCCTCTCATTAATTCCATCTGTGACATTCAAAGTCATGAAGTCTGAATAAACACTTGTATCTCCTCCTCCTATTAGAACATAAGCAGGTCATTATCATTACCATTCATGCCCGTTTCCAATTGCTCAAATGTACTGACACCTGTTGGCTTCTCTCTGTGTTTGCATTTCAAAATTTTAGTTCAGCTCTGGTCTTTTCATCACATAGTATAGAATGCTTGAAAGCCTTCTATTCCATTAAAGGTCTATTTTCTTTTCCACACACAAAAAAATTCTACTCAGACTTTCAAGGTAAATAATTCTTTTTTGTAAGTCTTCAATTTTTTCCCTTTTGGAATTCCTTATTTCAAGATTTTTCTCTCCTTTGTATTGTAGCTGTCAAGTCTTGTAAGGTAATGAGTGTGACTTCTTGTTACTTGAACATTTTCTTTCTGGATGCTTGCTCTATGTGTGTATGTGTATCCTGGAAGCTCAGGATTTTGGATATGGCACTCCTGGAATTTTCATTCTAGGATTTCTTTCAAGAGGTGATCAGTAAATTCTATTTTCACTTTACCTTCTGGTTATGGATAGTTTTCATTTATAAATTTTTCTTTTAAACAGAAGTTAGGCTTTCTTTTTGGCCACAGTTTTCAGGTAATCTAATTACCTTTAAATTGTCTTTCTTTGACCTATTTTTATGTCATTTGTTTTTGAAAGCAGATACCTTAAATTTTTTTTTCAATCTTTTGATTTTGTTTTAGCTTTTCTTATTATCTCATGGAATAAATGATTTCTCTTTGGCCTATTCTAATCAGTTCATAGGACAACTTCCTATTTTTCTTCCAGAAGCTAGATAAGGTTTTCTGCCTTCTTCACCAAAGTATGTATATTCCTTCCAATTCTTTCTTCCAGAGCTTTTAACTTACAGTTTCATATTTCATCTTCTGTTTAATTTCTTCCAGGTACTCTTGTAGTCTTTGTAGCCAACCTTATTTTTTTCTCTTAAATTCCACTTATAGTTGTAGTAGAAGCATTTTCTTCTTATAGATTTATCTCTTGGATATCTTATAATCCACAATACTTCTTCAGAGTATTCAGCATCTTCCATTTATTCATATTAACGACCTGAGTTCCTGGTTTGGTGCTTGGGGTCAGGCTTTTCCTGCTCACAAACTCATGAATGGAGTGCTCAAGAATGATTTGGTCCTGACCTCAGTTTTCCAACCTCCTGGCTTTTCCCTCACCTGGTATGTGCACCCACAGCTCTAGCAGCTT